TCTTTATACTGAGGACGCATAACCAGACGAACAATAATATACTAGAGACGCATTATGCGTCTGGACGCATAATCCGTCTTCTACATTATTCGTCTAGTATTATTCGTCCCGTCTTTATACTAGACGAATAATGTAGAAGACGGATTATGCGTCCAGACGCATAATGCGTTTCTAGTATAAAAACGGCCATTGAGGCTTGAACCAGCTACCTTAGAGGTGAAAGCTAGGCAAGTGCGCTAACCACTTCACCATAAGTGAGATGCGCTAAGCCGCTAACCACTTCGCCATAAGTGAGATGAGTGCTACCGTGTTTCCAATTTGATTCTAACAAATGCATGTTTCACTGCAAGTTTTCACTATGTATTCCGGTCAGAACATGCACTTCGCCTTCGTGCAGGATCGATCTAACTAGGAAGTATATAATTATTTTAGAACTATAATATCTATGTGCACGAAATATTTTTATGTCGGTAACCTTAAAGCAATAAAGGGCGAGTTGGAAATCTGCTTAGTGGAACAAGGAATTCTTTGTGTACTCTCGAATATTACATATGTTACTATACAGCCAATTCAAAAAAGGTTGTCCTTTGCAAACCTATACCTTAAACCTTACTAAGCTTGAAACGTGTGCTCCCATTAAGCTTTGCGCGCTTAGAGTTTAAGGTTTGCAAAGGACACCGTCATATGAGGCCGAACGAATTCGGAATATCCAATCACGCAATTTCGTCACTTGTTCACACGGAAATTCGTATATATATATATATATATATATATATATATATATATATATATATATATATATATATATATATATATATATATATATATATATATATATATATATATATATATATATATTTATAATATAGTCATCCACCGTATATGAGCTGTTCTGCAATCTGATTGGTTGAATTACTCGCCGTATATCAACTCATATATGGCGAGTAGCGAAAAACAAGATGGCGGTCCAAAAACTACATGAGTTTTGCGAAGCAGAAAAAGGAAAATATTCGCTTTGAAAAACATAATAGTACAAGGAAAAACTCTCAAAAAAAATTGACAGGTTAGCAAAATACATTTATTACGTAGAAATTAGTTTAAATTCAAGTTTTTCAAAGAATTAATACCGAAACAACAGCGAAAAAACATGTTCATTGAGAATATAAATTGTTCAGAAAAGTTTGCCATGAACGACAAATGAATTTGCAGTCAACAAGCACTTACTATAGTACCAAACATCTGTATAATATATCTGAGCTTTCCTGTGAGATATAGAGGTTCTAAAACCATTTCTCAGTTCACTTCGTCTTCGAGTTGTAAAACAAAAGTATTTCAAATTTTCAAGCGGTTTTTGGCCGAACAAATTGTCAACATATTGTAACAGTGAATAATTAATTACTGCTTCAGTTAATGGCTATATTAAACTATATTATAAAACAATTATACCATTCGCTCTCGTCGTATATGGCTGATAGCCGACTCGGTGCTACGCACCTCGTCGGCTATCAGCTCATATACGACTCGAGCTCATGGTATAATTGTTAAATATATATATATATATATATATATATATATATATATATATATATATATATATATATATATATATATATATATATATGGTTAGCTGTACTCAAATTTGTCCACTATCATTCGTCCCGGCCAATCGAAACGGGAAATCGTGCCTTAGCTTAGGTTTAGTGAAGAGCTTTGATCAGTTTCTTTGTGTTTTTTATTCGTTCTCAGTACATATGTTCATTGTATCAATTTTTAAAAATTTTGTCAGTTAAAAATGGCTCAAACTTACGTCACTGCATGGATTTGATCTTTGATCAGTATAACTGAGTAAGCGCGGCTGGAACACTGATAAGAAATAACAAAGTTACTGGTCTAATTTATATATCAGCTTGTTGAAATTAATTATTCAATAATACCATTGTCCGGCGATTTGAAGATCGCTGATATATATATTTTTATATCACTTTTTTAAACGCTCGATAAAATCAATTTATAGTTGCTCTTAATTACAAGTTGAATTTTAACGAAGAATATATTCCCGCCGGTAGCAAACTTGTACCCGCTTGATTGTCAGTTAACGATGACTGCATGTGCAATGAAGTTGAACGTTTCTTAGAGGTAACAATAGTTAAACTTATATCTTAAAAATATATATAACGTATGTAAATGTATATAATCTTTATTTTATTTAGCTTTAACAGTTTGTTTATTTCGCTTGTTTAATTTTCAAACGACTTAAAGTTTTGGAAATCTTTATTTATAATATAAATCTTCATTCCCCCAGATATACAGCTATATATGTCTTCACTTTAAGGTTGTCACAGTCAATATAATTGACAATCAATTGTACATTCCAAGCTAGCGCGAACAGGCGGAACAGCATATCATATGCAAGCAGGATATACCTATAGGTTAGGTGTCTTTATACGACCTTAGCTCCTTTTTGTTTTTGTATCCTAGGGGGATACTTGCATAACTTCAGTCTGGGTTTGCGTGTAATTTATCAGTGACAACAAGTATAGAAATTTACAAATCACTGACCAACAAATGGTTGAGATTTGTTTGTTTTTTTTTTGTTTTTTTTAAATTAATTTTCCCATCGGTATAAAAATCTACTTAAAATATATTACAATAATTTGAAGATTTTGGGCTAGAGACCTACTAGAAATCCTCATAGACTTTTTATTTTAGGTCTCTAGTTACTGTTCGTTTTATCACATAATCGATTATTTACAGTCAATCAATACATAATATGTAAAATCAGAAAGTTTTGAAGTATATATACTATATTTACAAGAGAGAAAAAGTAGTGGGAATGTTCGTATTATATAAATTAATAGTAATGTTGTAGATGCATTTATTTTTACATTCAATGTTAGTAAAAAGCTGTTCCATTATTTCTCCCAAGAAAACACTGAGTTATATATATCTGGGTTGTCAGCATATTAAGAACTACGCACATAGAAAGAACTACGGTATAGGAGGATTATATAAGTAAATTTAATCAGATACCCAGAAATAAAATGAAAAATGAAAAAACTAAAAAACTAAAACAAGACGTAAATTTGTTTTAAATTTGTTGTAATTAAAATTTTTTATCCATATCTAATTGGGTTTCAAGATGTTTTTAGTTTTTGTTTCATGCATATTTTCTTTTGTTAAATTGTCGGCTGGATCTGGCGTCCAGACAATTAACATGAGTGAGGAAGTGTAATAATAGTTTCAGTTAGAGACAGATCATTTGGTTGGTCAATGGTCAAGCGCTTCGTTCGTCCAACTAATAGTGATCATCCGTCAGTGCTCAACACATAATTAGATCATAGACAATCAGAAGTTCTTCTCGATTGATTGTGATGAGACGGACTAACCAGAGGCAGCGGGTACGACAGTGTGCGTTTGCACATGACGTCACAGCCGTCATGTTGGTGTTCCAATTCAAAAGAATTTTAATGGTCTTTAATAGACCTTTCCGGCCCTTATAACTAAAATTTCATTGATCTGGACAAAAATTTCATCACAGCTTGAAAGAGCACACCGAAATTAGTAATATTCCAACGTTTCGTTGCAAAATGTTGTAAAATGCGGATAATATAGCCTTGCGAAATTTGCCGTTTTTCAGTCATTTTGTATTACGCATGGGAAATTGACAGCCCAATCCCATATCGGGTGTTGGGGCATCAATTTCCCGTTTGTAATACAAAATGACTGAAAATTGCAAATTTCGCAGGGCTATATTATTCGCATTTTACAACATTTCGCAACGAAACTTCGAAATCTTACTAATTTTGTGATGCTCTTTCAAGCTGTGGCGAAATTTCTGTCTAGACCTGTCTAGATCACAATTTTAGTTATAAGGGGAAAGGTCATTAGACTCTGTTGTCTGGAACACCAACATGGCCGCCATGGCTTTTGTTGAGTTGGTCCCTGGGGAATGAGTGCAAACGCTCTATACTGGCTCAAATCTTATAGCAAAGCTATTTTTTTCGAAATCCGCTAACGACAAGGTTATATAAGTAAGCCTAAGTATCGGGTTTTCCTACATTTATGCGCATGACATGTAGATGCAGGTGTCCCAGGAAATCACCCCCCCCCCGGGCGATATTTCTTTGCAAATTTGGCCTCCATGCACGGGGACATATTTCCTAGGAAATTTGGCCCCTCATCGGATATTTGGGTCCCATTTTAGAACTGATCAATTAAATACTAAATGACAAGCGTATAAGCCATGAAATTGAGTTTCTCCATGCTCCCCGCTCAATGTCTCGCCGAGTAAAGATATATATGGTTATATAAATACAAGATGGTTAATAAACTTTAAAATAATCCGACCACAATAGATTTGATTTCGTTTCACTAGCGCTGCATGAGCTCCACCTTTGAATTTATTATGTGAATAAAAAGTTAAATAGGTCCGAATATAATTATACAATCTAACCTCTAACCCTAAACTAATCTTAATCTGACCCTAATCTAACCATAATCTAAACTTAACGACCCTTCTTTTTTCATTTTCAATATAAAATAGCGACGCCATCTTGGATGGTGATACAGTGTGATCTTAAGTTGTTTGTGTCGTGAAGACACGAACAAAAAAATGAAGAAGTGCGCGATTAAACCCATTCAGAAAGTGCACAATCTTGCCTATATAGCCTCATTTCCGTAATTAAGACATGTTTTCTTGACCTAGCCCTTGCACTGTATTTGTGTTTTCTTGCCCTAGCCCTAGCCTGCACTGTATTTGTGCTCACTGATCCTGCATGGATCGATCGATCGTACGGTGGCAGACGAAGATACCCGGGGGGGGGGAGACATACCCTATACTAAGCCCTCAACTCCTGCATGTTTGAGCTTCGTTCTTCGTAATTCTGCTCTCAGCTGAATTCTGAAATTTATTATTATAGCACCCCTTACCTTTATAACGCTATTTCATGTTTCTTTAGCAATGTTGAAGCGATCTTGACAGGGATAGAACTTTCTCCTTGATGACTAAATTAGAGAAAGATGTTTGTCCGGTTCATTCTGACACACAAATCAAACATGAAACATACAAAGCAAGAATGCAACTATTTCTTGCTACGGTTGTCTGTATCATTTTTATTGCTGTTGAAGTTGCAGGTTAGTATCAAGAGGAATTGCGCACGCTGTACATCTTTTTCCAGCCATTTTTGAGGCGCCGGGGAGATCGGACGAATTAGAGAAGGGGCTTATTAGAAGGTTAATGCAAGTAAGAAACGCAGTAAACTCCATTCCAGTTGATGAATCTAAATAGTGTACATGATTGAGGTTTTTGTCGTGAAGGAAGAGGGCGAGCTAAATGGAAGTCTCAATAATGTTTTTCCAATCTTAATATATTTCTTCCATTAAAAAAGAAGGGCGCATTCGAGAAGGGGCTAAATATAGAATCTATGGTATATATTTGAAAAGGTTTTTCGAATGTAATTGTCTATTTAATTAAAGTGTCCTTAATTCCAATTCAAACATCACTGCAAATTTGACTGGAAACTCACGCAGTGCAAAAACCTGTAATGACAGTGCTATTGCAAATAACAATGCCACTCCATATATATAAAATGAAAGAGATACAATGAATTAATTAAAAAAGCAGTTGCGAACACTGTTTACCCTTGATGTCCAATATGGACGACTTCTTGTGTTCCATGAAAGAAGAAATAAATTGAAATACCCGGTGATAGATATTTTCAAATTGATCATTACTACTGATATCTCGTTCAACGCTAGATATCTCCAGGTCGCTCACGTTTTTACTAGAATATCATCAAACGTTCCTCGAAAAATGCAATGGAATGGGCACATGCACCCCAGGCTCTTTTCTAAGTGTCCTTATACAGAAATAAATGTGCTCTTAAGACGACAGTGTCCTTCGAACGTAAGCCTTTATCTGTACAACAGAGTACACGGCCAAATTTATATGATTCTTTCAAAAAGAATATGTTACCACAATCATGTTTACTGATTCTTAATTGATGTGTGTTTTCCCACTGTACAGGAGGATATTTAGCAAATAGTTTGGCTATCATAACTGATGCAGCTCACATGATGTCTGATCTAGCAAGTTTATTAACAAGTATTTTAGCAATAAAGATTGCAGCATGGCCTGCTACTAAATCTCACACTTTTGGCTTTTTCCGTGCAGGTATGATATATGTTTAGTTGCAGTGGGGCACACAGATATGGTGCTCACCTTCACAAGTATTGATATCTATAGGGACAATTAATCTAACTCCTGTATTCTAAAACCTCACTGTGAGCTTCCCTTGAGTGCCAGTGCTGTTTTTGAATCACTGGAGGGTTAGCATAGTAACATAGTAAGGTACAAGACTAACCTCTCCAACTATTAAAAAACAGCACTGACACTCAAGGGAAGCTCAGATTGAACCTCCACTCTTTGAGTGTGAGCGAGCTTTTAGAATACAGGCGTAAATCTCTCTTTTTATTTGCCACCAAATACAAGAATTCAGCTCCCTTTGTGACTTTGTGATATTGCCTGCATGTTGACTACCATTTGCTGCATGATAGTTCTTAGTGAAATCCATGCATCTGGTGTATCTATAGATCACTTAAATTTGTTTTTATCATTATAGAAATGTTTGGGGCATTGCTAACAATTTTCCTGGGATGGATTGTGGCTGCCTTCTTATCATACTACGCCATTGAAAGGATAGTTTATCATGATTATGAAATAGAAGGAGATGCTATGGTGTTGACTGCTGGGTTTTGTTTGATAGCAAATATTTTGTAAGTACCACTACAAAACCTAAAACGTGATATGAGAACTTTCTAAAAATTCTGAATTTACCTTCATTCGGTAGTCATTGAAAGGAAATAAAATCGAAACGGCAATTTTAACGGTTCACATATAGTCTATCTTGATATGATGGCCTGGAAACTAAACAGAAGTCATTGTATTATGTTTTTGTCTGAGTTTATCTTAATTTGTGCACGGTCACAGTGATTGAGCTCATTGTATTTTCGTATAATTAAGTAACAGTCCAATAGGGATAGCTGAGATGAAACGTATAACCAGGATGAATAATATTTAATGAAGTCATGAGACAAAGGATTTGTGTACGGTGAGGTACAGTTCAACATCAAACAAAGGTCTTCTATTTTGTAGCTTTGAAGTTTGCCGGGCTTCCAGACCCTGATATCTTGACAGACTCACAGACTATGATTCACATGACATGCATAGGCCACATTAATTACAAATACCCTTCATATATGACCGGTATTGATTTGTGTGCCTATATAGAAAACGTTAATCACCCTTAATCTAACTGTTTCAGTGTTCAGCCTTTTGATTGTTACAGTTAGCTTGTATTTCAATGGTTCAATTCCACTATATTTAATTCATGTATGTAAAAGATATGGTACTAATAACTTTTTTCTTCTTGTTGTTCTTGGTGTCGTTGCAGCTAATTAATCCAACAGTTTATTCAGAATATAAGAATTTTGTATCAGGACGTAATAACTGTGATTTTAATACTACGTTATAATTCCGTTCAGGATGGGACTAATTCTCGTGGTACCAGGGCGATCACATGGTCATTCCCATGGTGGTAAACCTTCAATTAGAGAGGACGGAACACAATCAACAGAAGAACTACAGAATATCAATATTAGAGCTGCTTTTATTCATATTTTAGGAGACACATTGTGTACTTTAGGACTATTAATTGCAGCTATTATTATCAAATTTAGGGTAAGTAAGTAAGACATCATCAAGTTTGTCGTTCTTCAGCGGTAGGGATAGTTATTCGTTGTGTAAGTGGAGTAAATAACTCGTATCTTGAGTTTACAAGATGACATTATTATTCGGAGTAGATTTTTTCTTATATTTCTTAAATTTGTCTGTTGGTAAAGCCCGTAAAGGATTTTCCAATTATTAACCTTTGATTGGTTTAACCCTCTTAAAATCCAACCTCGCAAGCCAGGCTTGGGAAGGAAGTGGAAGTAGAGAGTCTCCTGGCTTGAGAGGTTGCTTACATAACCCACACATGCATTAGAGCTCCACAACTGGCATCTGTATAGCTCAGTTGGGTGTCAGGGACCTATGTAATAAATGTATATAATTTTCATCTACAATACCCTTCAACTAATCTTCAATCGAGTGAGATGCCAGCAAAATCTTGGTATGGAACTAAAATATAGCATTTAAATAGTTTTACAAAATAATGAAATATATTTTCGTTTTCCCATATGAGTCACTTTTTAGGGGGAGTTACTATTTTTAGACTTTTAGGGTTAGGATTAGGGTTTGGATTAGGGAAAGGATTAGGATTAGGGTTAGGGTTAGAGTAAAGGTTAGGGTTAAGTTTAAAATACAAAAGAATACAAAAGAATACAAAAGAATACAAAATTACAAAAGTCTAAAAATAGTTACTCCTCCTAAAACGTGACAGGTATACTATTTCTTCCTTTTCAGCCTGATCTTACAATTGCTGATCCTATTTGTACGTTGATTTTTTCTACAATGTCAGTTCTTGTTAGCTTAAATGTTTTCAAAGATATTATGAAAGTCTTCTTGGAAGGTAAGTTGACTCGTCACTGATGGCTCATGCCTGATAACGGAGAGCAGTTACGATGGAAGGGTCAGTTCTGGAATATTTCCCACCCTGTCAACATTCCCTGTGTGCGGAAACCGGAATTCCCAGAGAAAACCCAAATCGTTCGCTAAGCAATGACTAACTCCTCACATAAGTCATGAGTTCGCAGTGAGAATGGAACCCACGATCTGAGAGTTGGACGGCGGCTAGCTTGGCTCTTACGAGTGCGCCACCGAAGCCACAAATGTATTGTTCCACTTTGAATGTATCCAACTATATTTCCCTGAACAATGTATTTTACTTACTTAGGTGCTCCAGATCAATTTACATACGATGAAGTGAAAAGTTCTCTAGAATTAATAAAAGGCGTCACACACGTACACAGTCTGCGGTTGTGGTCGCTAACAGTCGATCTCTTGGCAGCAAACGTGCATTTACAAATTGGTACGTTGTCTCATATACAACCAACTGAAATCATATATTTCAGTAGGGGTTTAGTTTCCTTTATTTATTTATTGAAAGTTGGAGGAGGCTTAACACCTTAAACCTCCCAGCTTCCGTCCCCTTTGTGTAATAACATATTTATTCAAACCCCATCTACTGAAGCATTTAGTAGTTTTCCAGTACAATCACGCAAGTATTAGATTTCGATGCTATAGATGTTAATCATATCACCGACAGGTGTTCAGAATATCATAAACATACGACCAACTCATTTCCAATTGTGATTACCCTCTCCTGCCTCCACGTACCTGCTTTCAAACATCATAAAACCCCTCCTCCCTTTCATTTTACTAATCTATTCCGAGACATAGTTAATCGACACTCCCTAAGACACCCCAGGGCCTGTTCGCAGGCTACGTCCACATGGAATCGGACGAATTCGAAACCCCACTCAATTTCTGTTGTAAGCTTTCACGAATTTGCGTGCCGTCCCGAATTCGTTCGGTTTCGTGCCAACATAGTCTAATATGGTTCGCAGTGTTAAAAAAGAACTCATCTTTTTTGTAAAAAAAAAAACTCATCAAGTGTATGACGTTACAACATACAGCATGTGGCGTTGCGCATATAATTATTTGACTTTCACATTTCGGATGGCAAATGTTTAAATGTTTTAAGCCGTCAAATTTTCACCAGTTTACTTCGTTGGAGCACAGTTTGGTTGGAGCTCCAAATGAATCGCTTTCATTTGATAACTGGCTTAATATCAATTTATTTATATACAAAGTTATTTTTTGGCGAATTAATTGAAATGGTGGTTTCCTTTGCTGGCCATTGCGCCCACCCACATGCAGTGAGCTCCATAGCCTCCATATATACTGAAGCGAGAACTCGAGTCCAAAAACTGAAGCCATCTTAATTCGTGTTAACCGCGCAGACAAAAACAATAGAAGGGGACAGGAAATAACGTCCAATAGCTCCTTCAATTTCCGCCATCTTGGCAATGAGTGTAGCGAAATTTCGTATTTTGACATCGATTTAAAGAAGAACACTATGGTGTTATGAACTGCTCACTTGTTTAGTGATACGGTCCGTTAGAAAAAACTGGAATTAGCTGGGAGGAAATGGTATAAAAGCTGTTTACGTCCTTCAGAGCTATTGGACGTCAATGGCCGCCATCTTGGCTTCACTTTTCTCATTGACCGAATGACTGAATGAATGAATTTATTAGCGATTCCCAGCAGCCTTTCGCGCTCGTATTCGACTTTTGCGCTTTGCTTGGGGGACAACCTTAATTGAAATAGCTGTATCTATATTGAGCTCACCATTTCACCCAAAATCGCGGATTTCTTAGCGTGACGTAATATTCTCCCCCGAATCCTTACATTCATGTACAGCTCTCAATGATTGTTTTTCTTGCAGATGAAAATACAAGCGAAAATGAAGTTCTCTACACGGCAACAAAGCTTTTAAAACATGACTACAGAGTACAGTTTGTATGCATTCAAGTTGAAAATAAATTTGAATCATGGATAGAAATACACAATCAGGCAAAAACGGAGGAACAAACTACCACAGGCACGGAACTTAGTTCCGAATAGAAGATCTAAATTTTGATAATATACAGACTAGCTTTTAAAAACTTACGTAAATATATAAGATGTGCGTGTATTTATATATATTTGTAACATTTGTTAAAAATAAAAAATGGTGCTTTCACTGAATTGCACCTGGTGTTTTATTGGTTTTGCCTGAATTTTAATTCTGTGAAATATAATGTAAATATTTCAGGAGTATAACAATGGTTCAACCGTTCGAGTCAGGGTATAGTCGAGGTTCCTCCGAAATCAAAATTCCAAGGAAAGAGTAGTTATTACAACAGACATATAGTATTAACATAACTATCTATTAATATAGGAATATTTAGATTGAAATTGTTCTACAATTTATACCTTGACCCTTATCTTTTATCCTTGCATTTGCCTTTTTCTAATCATTTCTGGTATAGGTACCCTCACTCACTACTACCGGTAATATATTGAAGCACAGAATAGCTATAGCCCAAAGAAGTGCCCAAAGAAGTGCCCAAAGAAGGCAAAGATATGGTTTTTAATCGTCTGTAGAGTATTATGTATGAAAACCGGTAAAACCAATGAAATTATCAATTTGTTCAATTTTTTGTTGCTATAAAAATGTCATTATTTCTAAGATGATTATTATTCAAAGTAAAATAATTGTCTTATTCAAAGTAAAATAATTTTCTTCTTCAATAATGTCTGCGTCTCTAAGATGTTTTCTCTACATTTTCACTGCAGATCCAAAACTGTTTATATCTCTTGTTTGTTAAGAATATTATTACTGAGACGATTATCTTTAAAGTAAAAGATCATCCTCGTCTTCCAAAAGATTTTCTTCTTCAGACAATACATCAATAATGTCCTGCCCTTTTGTTCTCTTACTCGGATGCTTTCTCGGAATTTCGACTGCAGGTCGAAGACTATGCATCATTTCAACATCTTTACCACTGGACAATGCCGTTTTCCAGTGTGATAATTCATCTCCCATCGAACGAAAACTAAAGCTGAGTTGACCAATGACAACCTTTCTGCGAGCACTCCAGTTTGGGCGATGTTTGACACTGATTATCAGACAAACTGATTTCTTTTGTTGGTCAGTTAATTTGAAATGAAATCTTTCGTTAAATATTGGAAATAATGTTTTGTGTTTTGCATTTGTCGTTTCTTGGAAAATTCGTGTTGTGCCGTCGAATACTTCCACCTTTACGTAAGGATCTAAAATAAGAGTTAAACACGACTGAATTAAACATATTTAGAACTTAGAAAAACAACGACGACGACGCCACGGCGGCGGCGGCGGCGGCGGCGACGACGACAACAACAACAACAACAACTACAACAACTACAACAACTACAACAACAACAACAACAACAACAACTACAACAACTACAACAACTACAACAACTACAACAACTACAACAACTACAACAACTACAACAACAACAACAACTACAACAACTACAACAACAACAACAACTACAACAACTACAACAACAACAACAACAACAACAACAACTACAACAACTACAACAACAACAACAACTACAACTACGACAACAACAACAACAACTACAACAACTACAACAACAACAACAACTACAACTACGACAACAACAACAACTACAACAACTACAACAACAACAACAACTACAACAACTACAACAACAACAACAACAACAACAACTACGACAACAACGGCAACGGCAACAACAACTACGACAACAACACCGAACACAAACTAATTTCTAAAAATAACACTTTCGTTCCAATTTCCTGGTTAACCTAGAAATAACACTACTTGGGTTAACTTAGTATTCCTGGTTAAATTTCCTGGTTGTCTCGCTTCCTTCCATAGTGAATGTACAGCCTGAATTTAACCAGAAATCTAGTTATATGACCAGGACGTCCTTGTTGAAATAACCAGACCATGTTAGACCAGGAAGTCCTAGCTGCTCAACGTAACTTCTTCAAGGAAACTGAATTTGCCTTTCCCAGACCATGTTAGATGATAAATAACCAAGAGCCACTGGTTATTATTTATCCGGCTACAGTATGGTTGATTTAACCAGAAAGTCCTAGCTGGTCAACGTAACTAGACTATAGTGGGAAAAAAGTTAAAATAACCAGGAAATTTAATCAGGAATATTAAATTAACTCAAATATGATTATTTCTAGGTTAATTTAATTAAAAACCAGAAACAATTTTAACCAGAGTGCATAAGACGTTATTTGACCAACAACGAGATCTACATACTTGATTCTCCTCTTTTATTTACAGCTGAGAGATGCGAACACTCTTTCACAGTTACGTAAAATATTTCATCCTTTGGATTCCAACGGAAACTAAGCCAAATATCGCCACCTTTTGCCTAATGTGTAAAGGACAAATATAAAATTATAATTGACATCAACTCTTATATGCATGAACATCTTATAATGTACTGGAAATGATTGCTATACTGTAATTTCTTTTTGTGGAAAACACCAAGTTTTGTTATTTCGCAAAGCTCTTGAACCAATGTAGATTTGAGCATGAATGATGAATCTGAGCTAGCTTACGGATAGAAAGATTTGCCAGATAAATAAACACTACAGAGTGTTTTGCACAAAAAAACCCAATTCTTTGCATATATACAGCTATTTCAATTAAGGTTGTCCCTGAGCAAAGCGGAAAAGTGGAATACGAGCGCGAAAGGCTTGCTGCATGGGAATCCTTAAAAAATCATTAATTTTTTAGCGATTCCCAGCAAACCTTTCGCGCTCGTATTTGACTTTTCCGCTTTGCTCGGGGACAACCTTAATTGAAATAGCTGTACACTATCACTTGTGAAAGGTAATACATTCCAATCTTAAAGGTTTCACCCGATTGATTGATTTTATCACATGAGTTGCTGCAACCTTATAATTACACAAATTTTTGTTCTCAATCATTGAAAATGAAAAGCTCGCATACCCCTTTCCTCCATTCCAAAGTTTCATCAAAATCCTTTTCTTTTCCATGAATACTCTGAAACAATCCATGCATTTCTAGCATGGCGACTCCGATCAAATCTCTTGGCGATATTTTGTTCTCATCGTACACGTAACACATCAAGGTCTGTTCCTTGAGTTCATCTGGCAAGATGTTTATAGTTATGAGGTCATCAAACACAGGAGAAACACTGTTCCTAACTCTCCTGGTTTCAAGATATTCTCCTTTAGCACTTCTTGCCACTGAAAATGGATCTAACTCGACTTGAACAAAATTAAATGAAACGTAGCCTGATGACTTCACTGATAAATCTTCTGCTTTCTTGATTTTCACATGAAGTATTGCTCTACAAATTTAAGATGATTATTTTGGTGTTATATAGTTAAGAGGGTGGACATGGTCGTGGTTTTTGAATATCAATGATCCATTCGGCAGATCCGCTATAGTTATATAACATTTCTTGAACCGAAGTTGCTATAATATATATAATACTTGGAACAACTGTTTATAAATGTTTCTTGAAATCTGAACTAGGGACGTGCTGGTCAGGGACGAACCGACGAGAACTTGTTGTGGGCCCCTGCCATCATGGGCCCCTAAAATTAAAACATTGGAAAAGATAAAAAATATAGATTTTAATTTTGAAAATCAAGACTAAGATATTACAATTTATATTTATCTAAATTTACGAAAATATGGTACAGTAATTCGAAAGTTACTGCGGAAAAATCGTATGTCCGGAAATTTGTTTTACTTCCTCCCCCCAACCCCTCCTCCCGCTTGTCAACAATTTTGGGGGAAAAATTAATTAGCGACTGAAATGTTTCATGTTTGATTAGTAATACCCCCACCCCAATCTGGATCCATCCGTCACTGGGCCTGGGCCCCATCAGACGTTGCTCATTCGTCGTCCTTTTCAAGACCCCAGCACATCCCTGATCTGAACTTAATTGCCTTTTCCAAATTTTACTCGAACAACAATGACAAATTTGACCAAAAATTACGTCATTATGTGCGCAAGACTTAAATAGTTAAGCATGCTAGACTGCATTTATGTTACCGAGTGCATTTATTGAACATCGAGTATATAAGTCTTTAAGATTTTCTTGTAAAGTATGTACGTGTGAGTTGAAATTGTTCCTCAGTCTTATTGCTATATATAAGTATATGGCAAATGTTCCTCAGGATCCACGATGCCCGGAATTTCCAATACATCGTTTTGATTGTACTTACGTTCGTTTCTCGTAGAAAAGAGAAAACTTCAATCTTCCAATATCTTTCTATTTCAAAGGAAAAAAGATGAATAATTAGCAAACTTGATTTACGTTATTTCAAAACTGTTATAGCCCTCTTCAAAATATGCTAACGAAATCTCTCTTTTATTTTTCTGTATTTTGCAACCTGAATGGCTCATAGCCATCCATCTAGGCAGAGGAGGGGGCAGGGGAGGGGTGTCTTGCCCCCGCCCCCTTGGCGAAATTGTCTCCCCCCTCCCCTTGGGAAAATTCAGATTAATTATAGTCATGGGGCTTATATTTTAATTTCTTGTATGGGCATTATATTTTAATTTCTAGTTATATTTTAAGTGTTCTTGGTTTTATTTAAAATAATCAAAATGCTATGTCTATGACCTCCCAAAACGCTTGAGATTATATAATTATAGATTTTAACCGCAGACGTGTATAACTAGTTAAGTGTCTAAAATCTTCTCTTATACTCAAAACGTCTCTTATACTCACAATTTCTTTGCCAAAACCATCCTTCGGTTGAACTTTAAACAAAGATAGTTTAGGCAGTTTTAACTTTGGTAATTTGATCTTTTTCAGATATCCCCGTAATACTCCATCTTTTTTCTTCTTTTTTCGTTTCACTTTTTCGACAGCAAATTTCGAGATGCAGCAACATATTAAAATAATGATTAACACTGCAATTGTCACTCCAACAATTAATCCAATGGCGGCTTGTTTCTTATGGGTCTTTATCCAATCTAAAAATATGGTATTAACTAATAATTATTATATTTGTTGAATATGGTAATCAGTGCAAGTATTTTATCTTTTAATTTATTTTATTTTATTTCAGTGTAATTGAATACTACAGTGCCTTTTTTAAGGAATTTTCACTGGAGGGGCAAAACAGGAACAAAGGCAGAACGAAAAATATGAGCCGTCGAGGTTTGGCGAACGCGCGAGTCTGAAGAGAGATTTTGTAAAACTTGAATTTATTAACTTCACCTATATTTTACTTTAAACAATAACTTCAACTCTTTGTAGCTATAATCGTACAGCTATAACCAGTGGCGCAGCCAGACCTTATTATTTTTTTGGGGTGGGGGGAGCGAACCTCATGCCAAAGGCGTGAGACCGTCTAGGAGGGTCCGGGGGCATGCACCCCCGGGAAAATTTTGAAATCTAGGGTCCCTGAATTGCGATTTCAAGCATTTTGGGAGTGAAATCTAGCAGAATTCCGAAGATTATAAAGTACATCGAAGACATGATTTTTCCAGGCATTTCTACTCGGAATTAAATAAATTGGAAAAGTCACCTTGAAAAATAGGAGGAGGGGTCAGTGTCACCTTATTTCCTCTCTGTGATGCTGGGGGTGGGGGGGGGGGAGAAAATCCCAATGTGATTTTGATCAGAAATGTTGCATTTAAATCATTTTAGGTTCTATGAGACACCATTTCCGCATTCTCAAAATTGCGTTACTTTTTCATACGATACAGAATAAATCTGAGAAGAAATATTCATGCTATGATAATGCATACATGTATTTAACAGTTAAAAATCTAAAATAAATCTATTCTTCTTGGAACAGCATTTTATCGGATTGTTTGCATGAAATCTATCGCTATTATGAAATACTCGGTGAAGAATAATATGAATTACACACAAGGTGGCTGTGGAGGAGGCTATGGAAGGGCATAATCTCATCAAGTAAATCAACTGCAATTCTGACAGCAATCATGAGCAATTCTGCTTCGCACTTCGGGGGCAGAAATGGCTTTACTGGGGGGGGGGAATTCTTTCCCTGGGGGGCAATTGCCCCCCCAGATATACTGTATAGTTAAAAAAGGCACTGCAATACTAAAAGAAGATACTGCTTGTACGACTGCACATGCATGCATGCATGCATGGCCCGTAAAACTGCAAAAAACGTCAAATGCGGATTGTTGCAACCACCAGAAATAAAAGGGGAACTTCGACGTTTAGAGCAACTTCCCAGCGACGAAGGGACTTCGTTCGAAACGTCGAAGTTCTCCTTGTATTATTTTTCAGGTAAAGTTGACAAGTTATATCCCTGTCTATATTTCCGCAGCTTTCTTATTATAGCCACTGCCTATGCACATATCGTTCAAGATTATTGTCAATTCTGAGGTTTCCTGTACATTCAAAGGGGGAAAAATTTGCACATTAGACTGGTGGTGATAATGAATCCCATAGACACATGGAATTAGGCAGAATGTTACCTAGCTGTCGGTATTAAATCTGCAAGGTATACTCCGAACGTCATTTGTCTTTTTAGATTGTCTTTTAAGACCGAAGCACCGCTTGACATATGAAGGTTAGACAAAACTACATGGACATGTTACTTAACTTGAATATATTTTATACAATACTGTGTCAACGAGTGATACCATTACACAACGCGGAACGTGACATATATACCCAATTGGTATTACATATATTATATATAAGGAAATATATGCGTTATTAACTGTCATTATTTATATTAGTGCATGAGCTTGGCAAATACAACGGTATAACGTCAGCTAGCAGTACGCGTCGTAGTTGTCCAAACTGCTCCGTTATAGCCTATAGTATATATCCGCATTTTCTCGTCATAGCCATTGATACCGTTAGAACGTTCGAAGTCGTGTGGTGATGTTTAATGTGAATTTACTAGTACTGACTATTGCTATTTTAATAAGGATTGTTCGTACTGAAAAGATCAATGACAATGTATTCTTTAAAGTAATTTTGTTTCTGCCGTTGCCTTTGTCGATTGCCAAACTCCCTATATAAATATTGTCTGAGGAACAAACTTAGGGGCCGATTACATGGAGCATTTTCAACCCCGGGGTTGAACTCAGCCCTGTTAACCGGGTTGAAATTTTTTGCGATTATATGGACGATTTCAACCCCGGGGTTGAAACGTTATACTATACGTTTGCGGCATCGATTAGTGGAAGTAAAAAAAGCCTTTATTTTGTCTTCTTGTAATAAATAGTCACTACCACGTATGCTCGAATAACTCATGTGATAATTGCAGCCCTGGGTTGAAAATTTTGTCATGTGATCGCGCGTTTGATTTTGGTAGAGTTTTGTATTACAGACAGGGCTGAAATTTCAACCCGGTAAACAGGGCTGAGTTCAACCCCGGGGTTGAAAATGCTCCATGTAATCGGCCCCTAAGTATTCAATTCTTAGTATTAAACTTAGTATTAAATTCAGTCAAGTTCATGCATACAATTGCAAAACTGATACACGATATTTACCTGTGACTGCAGTGACGTTGACATGAGGTATTAACGGACTTTCTGTTGTCTGCACTGTCACTGTTGTCATATTCTGAACTGGTGATTCAGTTGTTCTCACTGGTACATTTGAATTGTTGATATCATTTGTTGTTTCAATACTGTCCGTAGAGATACTCATCAAGACAAACACAACAGCTACACGCCATAGTCGGTCAATCATATCCGAAGTTTTGTATGAAATACCAGTCATATCTATGTTACCAATGTTGGTACTAACCAAATACTTGTTACATCTCAGTTA